TGTCCTCCAAATTGGCTGAATCCGAATCCGAATTGAATGCTTCCCTATTTGCACAGGCCTAAAGGAGAGTTCCCCATGGCATTCCTCATGAGAACCAGCAGAGCTGGAAAATGTATAGTATATCTTCTTTCAAATCAACAGAATTAAGGTAGCATAATCTCCTGGCATCTGTTACTTGGTACTGAGCGTGCAGTTTCAACAGCAATGAATGGAGCCTATCGACACTGGACTCCTAGGTACTCAAAAAGGTGACCAACTTTGAGATAGTCAGTTTTCATCTGTAATCTCAGTCTCCATCTGGGAAATGGGGGGTAATAACATACCTTTATCATGTGCCTTTCACCTGCAGCGATAGGTCCAAGCAAAAGGACCAAACAGAGCTAACTTAAGATCTGTTTTGCCCAAAAGATCCCAGGGGTTCTGTTTTCCCCAATTTATGCACCTAACGACAGTTCATCTTTTGAGAGGTTAAATTGATTCAGCATGGTTACCTGATATCAGGTAAGTCAGGATGGGGGGGCTAGCTGGGGAGTTGGGAGTCCAGCAGTCTGGAGAGGATCAGGGGTCTGCTGGGGGATGAGGGTAGATGCGAACCCCCCACCACACTCCCAAGGGATAGGTGGGCAGACACAACCTGCAGATGGGGTGAGGGTGTAGGCATGACCCGCAAGGGGTGGGGAGGAGCTGCGACCCACAGGTGGGGTGGGGTCACCCCCAGCAAACCTACACCTTTATCCCTCCCCACCCCTACTCCCACCAGCTCCAGCATTGGTGAATGCCAGTAAAAGCAGCTTCACCCCAAGTGGCTTTTGGGATGGGGTTGAGAGGGCTGGCTGGTGGTGGTGGGGAGCCAGTGGCTGGAGAGGGCAAATAATAGACCAGTGCAGGGGCAAAGGGGAAATGAATAGAGCAGCCCCAGGCTGTGGGCAGTGCCTGGGTCTTCCCAGCCCTTGGGCTGCACAGGGGAAGTGCACAGAAGTTCCATGCACCAGTTTGACCTAAATCGAATTAAGACTGATACCACATAGACCTAGGTGTATCTTAAACCAGATTCTGCGATTTTTTGACCAGCTTGTGCACATGGAACTTCTGTACAGTTACAGGTTTAGACTGATTGTTGGTCACTGAGACTGAGTTTGTAAGTGTAAGGTTGGCAATGGGATGAGTTAAGTTTAAATCAGGTGCCCATTTTGAATCCAATTTAACCTCCCCAAATGTCCGTACTTAACTCAGATGTTTAGTAGGGGTGTGCGAAATGGGCTGTATGAGATTCAGATTCAGCCCAACTTGGGGACAGTGATTCAATTGGCTGATTCAGATTACTGTCCCCAATTTTGATTCAGCCAAATCCAAATATGAAGATTCAATGTTGATTCAGAGAATCAGTGATTTGGCCATAGACAGGCTTGAAATTTTTTTTTCTACATACCTTGAGGTACCAGGCGTGGCTCATGAATGCTACAATGCTGGGGCAGATGGAGCATCTCACAGGAGTGCAGGGGGCCCCCTGTGTGCTTGGTGGGTTCACCTGGAAGTGGACTGGAAGTATTTCCGGTCCACTTCCAGGTCCACTGGGGAGCACCCTGCCCCTCCCCTCACACCGCCCAGCTCAGCAATCATCTGTGGGGGAACCCTGGGTGCCCCGCAAGACCCAGGAAGCTCCAGTCGCCAGGGCAGTGTGGGGAGAACCCCAGCACGCTACCCGGTAGACCTAGAACTGTACCAGAAGTGCTTCTGGTCCACTTCCAGGTCCGCTGCTGAGCACGATGGGGAGCTCCCCCATGTTTCTGTGGGAAGCTCCATCAAACCCACCATTGCAGTGCCGACAAGCCGACTGGTACCTTGAGGTATGCAGAAAAAACATTTAAAGCTGTGTCTATGTCTGAATCTCCAAATCTTTCTGAATCTCTCCAGATTGATTCGGAGGGTTCTGATTCAATTCGGAGAGATTAAAGGGTCTCCTGATTTGGTTCGGATTCGGCGATTTGGCCACCAAATTGGGCTAAACCTTCTTTGAATCAAATCAGAGACCGAAGCTTCACACAGCCCTAATGTTAAGTGAGTTGCCTTAAAACTAAAAAGAAATAGAGGTTCATTCTAGAAAATGAAAGGTAAAACATTGTTCAAATACAGACTTCAGTTATGCAAACTGCATGACACTTACACTTAATTTCACACAAATGAGTCATCCCATTGAATTTTTTGGAGTACTTGTATATACATTAAAAATATATATATGTAAGTCTCTGCAGTGGGTTGAATACCACTTCCTGCATCCTGGAACGGTCTTGCATTCAAATATTGTATCAGGAGCGTACCTCATACAATATGGATCTTACCTAAATTCTCAGAAATTAGCTGCCTGTTACATAAATTCACTATATATACCAGAAATCACTGGCTAGTGTCTGATTGTCTTTTGAAAGTATAAGAATCCATTACTCTTCAGTTTATGTGATTGATAGTCTATGCTTTGCATTTATGTTTCTTTACAAAGGCAGGTCTAGTCCCCTAATAAGGGGAATTAGATTTTAAGATTGTTCCTGACTCTGCTTGGATATGTAGATTTACTTGGTGGAGTTACTTGCAAGCTGAAGGCCTGATCCACTATATTACATCAATGCTTTTCTGTAGGAAAATGAGTAAGTTCCTTTCTGTGCTGGCTGTATTGAAAAAGATAATATTCTATGCTATAAAAAGCAGGGTAAACTGGAATAGCAGATATGTGTGAAAGCAACTTCTTCTCATAGCACACAGAAAAACGCTCCTAGAAACATCAGCCTATTGTGTACACTGAAAGGTACCGTGTTGGGATAAGTTGTTCACACCACTTTTGTTTTGTTAAATAAAATAAAGTTAGGTGGATACATTTTTTTATATATATATATTTGGAGTATTATCTACTATTGGTATACTACTGACATTTCTCTCCTGGTGTACTGATGCATAAAATGTGCGCCTTTTGTTTTGGCTAAGAATCCTTCCTTCTATTTAATTTTATTTTGTGGGTTTGTGCCAGGGCATTGTGTTTGTTAGTTCAGAATAAACCTGGGTTACTTAATCACTTTACCATAATTAATTTTGCATCCACGTTGTGGTAACTGATAGTAATTTTTAATACAGTAGTTTTTAATAATTTTACCACTTATTTTTAGCTTCAGCATTGCAAAAATCTATTCCATATCTGTGTGACCTTCCTGTAAAAAGATCTCAGTCCCTATATTAATCTTGTTAGACTCAAGGCACCCCTTGAAAAATACCAGGCCCTAACTTCCACTCATTTTTTTTTTGTCTATAGAAACAGAGCAATTTTTCTGTTGCAAAGAAAGCCAACAGGTCAGAATGTTTTTGACACTATGGATACCTCCTTAAAATCTCTGGGTTTATCTTATCCATCGTGTGTAAGTGTTTGCACACCTAACAGTGTTAATATTGACTGACACCCTTATAAAGATCTTGTGGCATCCTTCTGGTCCATCATAGATCTATATATCCTTGAGAACAGCAGGTGGAGACAGCTCCATGCAATTATGATCACCCATTATTAAAGAGTTAAGCGCTATTAAAAAGGAATTTTCTCTACTAACGCTTCTCATGCTATAGAAAAGGGAATAAAGTATGCCTGATCCAACAAATGCTCAAGCATGTGCTAGATTTTAACTCCATTGGTAGTTCCTTTGTTTTCAAGGTGATATTCATGGTACCGAAGTCAAGCACATGTACATTTTTGCGGTACTGGAGCCATAATTAATACATTTATGAACACATGAAAGCACATTTCCTGTTCCGGATTGGTATCAATAATAATTTTTCCCTTAATATTACTTAATTCAGTCGTGTTCTGTAGTTTACAGATAGTATATGGGTCAGTACTTACTGACTACTACTAGGCTTATCCTGTTGTGTTTAAGCTAACAAATTATGGTGGTAACTGGGTGTAGTCGACAAACTTTCAAAACCGGAACTGCAGAAGACGAAAGTTGGCATCCAAAACAAAAGTTCACACAATTCATCTAAATGAGGACTCTATGCCAGTTCCACAAGTTATTTTTTGTTGCAGTGTGAAATGTAAATAAGTATGTAAATAAGTATATGTAAAGGATAAACAAAGAAATTTTGGTTTTCAGCATTTCTTCACAATACAGAAAGATACAGGTAACATGTTGCCGTCGTCCTTCAAAAATATGGGAGCACAGAGGAGTTTCCAGGCTCCTTAAATATTTTGTTCCCCAGCATTTTTAACAGTGTAAAACATTGGAAACATTCTCATAACTTCTATGGAAAAAATGTATTAAAGAAAACATGCATCAGTCACGTGGTCTATGAGTTACTCATTATGTATCTTAAGGAGCTCTAAAGGCTTTCTGTTTTTTTTCCCTGTTGTGCAACAAAGCAAACAAAGCTTCAACTGAAAGTTAGTATCATTTCACAGAAATGCAATGTGATTTTATGAAGACAGAGTCAGGAGTCATTTTACCTTTACTGGATTATTTGCTATGAGCTGTAGGAGATGACTCTGTCTCCTACACAAGGCTGCCTGTGCCTAAATGACATTTAGACTTAACTGTTCAATGAAGGAACTGCTTTTACTCATGAGTTCTATAAGTGTTAATGCTCTTGAGTGGTTTAATGTTAATAACTAAATACTGTACAGTGTATGCCAGCACTTGCCCTGCCTCCTTTAGTAAGATAAAGGGGCAGTGGCCCGGACTTCATTTCAAAGCAGTTAGTAGCGTCTTTCCGTCTGTATTTCAGAGAGATATTCACAGATAAACAGGATGTCATTACAGTCTTTCTTCTTAAACTGAGTAGGAGAGAGCCCTGCACAACTGCTTGGAATACAGAGGAAGAAGGCGGACAGCCCTCTTCGCTGTCACTGGGACAGCGGGCAAACCTGCAGCTCTCTTGCATGCTCGCTGTCCCACTGGCCACTGTCCTCCCCCTTTGACAGGCTTATACAGGGAAAGGGCTAATTTCAAGGAAATGGAGACAGGACTTACAAGAAAGGAGACCAGGAGCTTCTTGATCATGCTGTCAGTGCTATGCCCAGATAAGCCCTTGTGAATACTATCTTCCAAACTGAAAGTAACCCAGCAGCATAAGACTAGCTGTCCTCTCGCCGTCACCACCTAGAGAGAGCACTTCTCTGACTGCTGCTGTACAGTACACCCACAGCTCAGTGCTCCTCCCACTGTGGTAAATGACAGTTAGTCTCGTCCTCTAGTATTGCTAGTTGATTTTCTAACTTTTGCCTACCGTTCCTGAAGGAGGGGAAAACCAGAGGAGAGTAAAGCAGAAAGAGGCTCTTCTGTTAGCAGGGTAAGACAGTGTAGAAGTGAGCCTGGGACACTACGGAGCTGGCTGAGACACACTAGATAAGGACTGACCAAGAAAAATGCAGGGTGTGTGCCTCTCCTCCCAGCAGTAGCTTCAGTTGCCCTGTAAAGCTGTTTGAAAATCTCTTATGGTTATCAGAGGATTGCTTTAGCTTTGCTTTGGGAAAGGCTAAAGAATAAGATTATGTATGTACTTGGGCGAGTGGTGCCTCCCAAGTCTGGGGGGGCACCAGATTGCTGACAGGGAAGGGGGGGGGGAGGTCCCCAAGCAGCCAATCGCTGAGCCAGCAGCAAAACCAGAAGTGCATTTTATGGCTGGCGCTTCCGGGGGGTGCACAGCTGATCTCATGGGGTGCATGTGCACCTCCTACACGTCACTAATGTGTATGTAACTTACTTTGGAAAGAGTCCTAATTTCACTTCTCACATTTTACCCTTTCAACTTTTAACATCAGAATCAGTTGATTGAAATCTTTGTGGTGAAAATGGCATAAAATGGAATATATTTCCATTCTGACTTTCTGACTAATTGATTTTGTAGACTACTAATATGGGTATTTTAAAATGTCATTAATTTAAACTCGCAACATCCCTGGGACTAGGTTTAGAGATGAAGGATAGTCTGGTAGGTAAGTCTCTAAACTGGGATTTGGGAGGTCTGACTTCCTGTGTGATTTTAGATAAGTCACAAAGGGACCTAACTCCAATGATTTCAGTTCAGAGACAGAATTTTAAAGATATTTAGGCACCCAAAGATGCAGAATAGTACCAAGCAGGATTTTCCAAAGTAGCGGGGTGCCTAATATTTATTGATTTCAATGGCATTAAGCACTTTACATGTCCTATTGGTCGGTAATCCTAACTGCCACCTCAGGAAAGCTCCACTGTAAGCACTGCAGTTGTTAAAGTTTAAGCACTTTGCCCAAGAGGGTGAATGAAACGGACAGGTTAGGAACATAGGATCTCCATAAAGTAAATGGAGATACTTAGATGTCTCCTAATAGCAATACAAATTGCTTTAGGAGGAGCCTTCAGCTAGGCAGAGGTATATCTGAACTCCTACTCTTCCCTGGAGCACAGGCATCTGACTCTGAGGGCAAGGATGGTACTTCTTCCTCTTGGGATCCAGACTGTTCAGAGGGCAGGCACCTCTCTGACCCAGAATACCTAGCTGACAGAAGCACTGAGTTGAGCATTCTCAACCCAAGCTTTGACTTGACATTCACTGGTTAAAAAGAGATGCCAAGGCTCCCTTCATCACTGCTCAACAAGTCACACACACATTTTTTTCCCATCATGTCTGCCAGTGAACAAACTGCAACAGGAGGGTTGAAGGAAGGCCACCACTGAGACTAGTCGATAACCTAGTGGTTACAGCACTTGCCTAGGATTGAGGGGGATGTGGTTTGGAGTTGGGCCTGGAATCCACGTCTCTGATTTCTTAAACATGTCATCTTACCGCTAAGCTCAGGGAAAAAAGAGGAGCACTGCTGATATGTCAGGGACTAGGATTTTGAAATGAGCTGCATAAGTGCTTTCAGAACTGAACAGTTGCTGACTGAGATCAGAGCATATCAAAGGAATTGGGAGCTTAGGTAGAGGTTAGGGTGTCACACAGATTTCCCTCAAAACAGAGTTTAGGTGGGAATGAGGAGTGTCTGAGTAGGAGCATTAGCCCACACGTATTTAATAGGAACTCAAGACAGTTTTGTAACTGCTGAGAGGAGTCAACTAATCTCTCTCTTTTAACTTAGATATGTAGAGTGGCTAGAAAGTCAGTTTGGATCTAGTTAAAAGGGAACTTAGACTTTAGCTTCAGTATTTAACACCTACCTTTTAGATACTCTGCCATGTGGTGGAATCCTCACCTCAGACTAGGTGTCCAGCTTCCCTGTATATTGCATAGAAAGAATTAGGAACCTAAAAGGGAGGTCCAGAGCTAGAATGCTAAATATGAGTGCATAACTTGGCCAACAGAAATCTTGATGACAAGAGTGAGGCCTAGCTCTCACCCTCAAAGGTATCCAGGTGCCTATCTCTATGGCTAGGGACAGAAGTTACACATAAACCAATTTAAGTGATCAGAAACTGGTTTAAACCTGTACAAGAACAGAAGTGCACATAAACCAGTTTCAAAATGGGTGAAATTTGTTTAAGATAATCAATGTGGTATCATTGATTTAGGTTAAACTGGTTTATGAAACTTCTGCCTCAAACCCCTTCCTGGTTTAAGTTAAATCAGAGTCTCCCACTATCCCAGCATGCTTTTCAGCCCTGGGCTAGGCTGCACTATCTGCTCCAGAGAGCAGGGCTGGCTCCGCCTTTCTGCTTCCTAGCTGGATCAGTGAGGGCTGCCTCACTGGCCTTACTGGTTGGATCACTGCCCCCTTCCACCCCACCGCCTGGCAAACACTGACTGGAGGCTGGCACCAGGGAGGAGGTTAAACTCCCCTTCCCCCAAGTACAGAGCTGTCCTGCCCTCCTGGCTTGCTTACTGCTGGCTGCGACTGTGGGTTACAAATCCCAGAGGCACCTGGAAGCAAGAAGAAGAAGTGATTAGCAACCTTAAGAATCCTGCTGCTCTGATTATGGACTGCAAATCCAAGGGACCTCAGGGGCAGCAGGAAGAGGGAGCAAACTTATAGACCATGCTGGCTATGTGCCAGAGAGCTGTGCTCTAGCGCCCCCTGGCTTCTGGCTTGAGCCACTGCAGGCATGTGGCTGCATTTCCTGAATCACAAATGAATGTCTGTTTGTTTGCTTATTGCTTCAATCTTTGCAGCTTAGGGTAACCTGCAATGACTGAATCAGTTCAGTCTCTGGCTTTTTGACTATCTGTATGGAATGCTAAGCACCCACAGAAATGGAGTAGTAGTGCTCCCCCCCACATCCAAAGGATAGACCACCACTCACTTGGATTATGAAACATCTGGATTTGGAGCAGATCTAGGCCTGGATTGGATCTAAGCCTCCTACCTTTCTTTATCTTAAGTATTAGGCCACAGGATATGTTGAAGTGGATCTTTCTCAATCTTTCCTGTTTAGTGCATTACACTTTGCATAAAATGCTTAACTTGTAGTTGCACAGAGAGAGAGACTATAGCCTAATAGTCTGGTGATTAAGGCATTCATGTAGGATTCTGTCCATGTCCTAATAAATATTCAAATATTTTAGGAATATAAGACTGAAACCAGTCCTCTGTAATTGCAATCGACCAAGTCACATAATCTCTTTAATAAATTTATCAAGTTGTATTTTAAAATTAATTGTTGCCTCCACTACACTTACCAGAAGGGTGTTCCAGAACCATCACCCCTCTGATAGTTAAAGAATTCAAATTTTCTGTTTAAATGTATTTATTGACATTTTATACCCACTCATTCCAGAAATAATATACAATAGTTTCTTTCTCCCTGGTCTTTCTCCCCCCGATGAGCACACATCTCCTTTCAGTCTTATATTGCTAGCTTAAACAAGTAAGATCTTTTAGTTTCCTCTCAGAAGAAAGGCTGACTATTCTTTAGCAGCCCTTGTCTGCAATTGGTCCAGCCTGGATTCAACTTTCTTGAACAGGGGTGCGATAGCATTGCAGGTGTTTAGAGTGACACTTACTCACCTAAGGTTTTTATAGATCTAGGTCCACATACTTAAATATATATCGATAGGTATGTACATCTGTAAAATGGGTCTGGTGGCATTTTCTTACATAGGTATCATAAGAATAAATAAATATGTTAAAGATTGCAAAGCACTTAGATCTTGTGGTACTGGGATTCTTGTAAGTATCTGAGATAGAAATAGTATTACTATTTATGGATACAGGATACCACAACATAGAGCATTTAAGTTGCTTATTGAGGTCTGCACTGGAAATCAGGGACAAACTGAAGAATAGATCTCACAACCATAGTCCTGTAGTTTAACGCACAGATAAGCAATTTTCATTTTAGGATTGTGACCCCCCAAACTTCTCTAATATTGCTAAAGGGGCAGAGGGTAGAAGTAGATAGAGGTTGAAAGGAATCCTGAACATGGGTGTGGATGCTAGTATTAAAATAGACAAGATTCACTGCAGCTGCCATCTTATCCTCCACTACCTTGTTTAAAGGAACATCCATGAGGCTGGCAACTTGTATTTCACAGCTGTTCTTCAAATCAGTTAACAGCTTTCCTTGTGGTGCTTGTCTCTTTCAGTATGTAAATTGTAGTACTTCAAACTCTGCAGTCTGTTGCAAGCAGAACGATGATCTTAAAATATCACTTATCAAAATATCTCTAAATCTCTTAATCTATTCAATGACTGTATCCACTTTTGAAAGACAGTCTGACTGTGTTCATGTTTTCATATTAAATTCCATTTTACAAGGGTTGATGACTCATCCTGCTAGATTTTAGCACAGGAGCTAAAAGCTAGATTATGTGTTTTCATAAAAAAGTATACAAAATAGCTCTGTTTTAAATATTTTCAGTTTTTTAACCACTTCCGCCCAAAACAGAACTCTTAATTTTGAGCTGTGGACATTTCCAGGTGCCTTTTTTTGCTGTGTACTTCACTGGCAAACTGTAAAAAAGCCAAAACATAGCGGTCTTGGGCACTATGTGTGTACCATTCCTTGAGGTCCTAAGGACTAAACCAAAATAATGGAAAGAAACCTCTGCATAGCTGCTTTCAAATTGTTCAGATGAGGTATCAAAAAAAGCAAACAAGATTAGGGCCATTGCATGGATCATTTTTGCATAATAAATAGATTCTTTTCTACATGAATTATTATATTGCCATAATTACTGTAGAATCTGAGGGCCTTCCCATAGTGCATTAGGCAATG